GGAGCTTCTTTCTCTTCTCTCCTCTCATCTCATCTTTCTGAGGAACACTCACGCCCTCTAGCAATAGGAAGAAATATAGTTGTTTCATCTTATTTACAAATTTTATTTTGATTTTTTTCCTTAAAGAATTTTTTACTACTTATTCTTATTAGTAGTATTATTGCTGTAAGGCACATATGCTCATCAGAGCGAGAGACAGAAAGTGAGAAAGCAAGTTGCCACTTCCGGGACTCAAACCACACTCAGCCATGTGGGAGTCCAGTGCCTTAACCATCAGCCACCTGCCAGCGCCTTGAAGTACTTTGAGTGGGACATGCTATGTTAACTGTTAGTACTTTCAGACCTTTCATGATATATATGGATGTTTATAGTAAACTGTTTAAAACTTAAACGTGTCAGAATTTTAGTGACCATTGCTTTTCTGACTTTTTACCTTAAATTTCGAGTGTCAAGAAACACTCAGAGCTGACCTGTGGTGCAGTAAAGGAAGCCGTACCCCACCTGGCCAGCCATGGCCACTCGGAGGTGGGCCCAGGGCAGGGCAGGAGAGGCGGAGGTGGAGGTGCCTGAAACTGCTTTGTCCTTCCTAATGCCGACGGTCTGGCGATGGGGGCCCAGGCTGGGGCTTCACAGCAGCGACAGTGGACCAAGGAAGGGCAGGAGAGGCAGCTTGAAAACCATGCTGGGTGCACGTGCATCCAAGCCCAAAGTCTCACCCCAGTGTACAAATGGAGAACGGACTGCAGTGTGACCACACCTCTTTGGGGATGTGTTAATCTCTGGTGAGCACACGTGCCCTCTGACAAACTAAAATCCATGTGTTCATTCAGAATGCCTTTGAGTACTTAGTAGTCATTTTCTGTGTATGGCGTTGGGAGTTAGAACAGTAAGCAAGGTGAGGCCTGCCTTCGTGGCGTGGCCTCTGCATGGGGCACACCAGACAGCGAGCCAGGGTCGTCAATGACAAGTGTTGCGAGGGGCTGTGGGGCTGGGGGCTTAGAATGAGGAGCTCTTAACAGAGACCTGCAGGCATGGGGAGTGGGTTGTGCAGATGTCTGTGCGTGTGAGGAAAACGAGCTGTCGGCCGGCTGGTGGCGTGGTGCTGAAGGCAGTTGGACCCCACCTAGCCAGCTGAGTCATTTGAGTCCCGTGCACGTGTGTGGCATGTGTGCATGCGTGCCCAAAGACGGAGGAGACAGGATTGCAGCATGACCACTGCCCGTGAAGGGTGCTTTCTTTTCTTTCTTTCTTTTTTTTTTTTTTTAACTTTCTGATTTTTTTAAAAATTTATTTCTTTTTTTGTATATACATTCAATCGCATTGTTTATCCTACAATGTGAGCATTTCAATATGTGATATAGAAAGTCTGAATAAGTCCATAACAAGCCAGGAGATTGAATCAGTAATAAATAACCTCCCAACAAAGAAAAGCCCTGCCCTGATTGATTCACTTCAAAATTCTACAAAACTTTCAAGGAAGAGTTAACTCCCATTCTGCTCACATTATTTCTAAAGATCCAAAAGGGTGAATCTCTTCCAAATTCATTCTGTGAAGCCTCTATCACCCTTATCCTTAAAACAGATAAGGACAGGACAAGAAAGGAAAACTATAGAGCAATATCTCTGATGAGCATAGACACAAAGATTCTCAACAAGATACTAGCAAATCATATTCAACAACTTATAAAGAAGCTCATACACCATGATCAGGTAGGCTTTATTCCAGGAATGGAAGGTTGGTTCAACATACGCAAAACCATAAATGTAATACATCATATTAACAGGAACAAAGATAAAAACCATATGGTCATATCAATTGATGCAGAAAAAACATTTGATAAGATACAACATCCCTTCATGATCAAGACTCTCAGCGAAATCTGCATAGAAGGGCCATTTCTCAATACAATAAAAGCCATCTATGGAAAACCCGTATCGAACATCATCCTCAATGGAGAAAAGCTGAAAGCTTTCCCACTAAACACCGGAACAAGACAAGGATGCCCACTGTCTCCACTCCTTTTCAATATAGTACTGGAAGTCCTCGCCAACCCAGTCAGAAAAGAGGAAAATATAAAGGGCATCCAAATAGGAAAAAAAGAGGTGAAACTCTCTCTATTTGCAGACGACATGATTATATACATAGAAGACCCAATGGTCTCCATGGAAAAATTACTGGAAGTAATACATGATTACAGTAAAGTTGCAGGATATAAAATTAATATACAGAAGTCGATAGCATTTCTATATGCGAATAACAGGCAGACTGAGATAGAACTGAAAAAAGTTATTCCATTTACCATAGCCACCAAAAGTATTCGATATTTAGGAATAAACCAAAGAAGTTAAAGACCTCCACAAGGAAAACTATGAGAAGCTATAAAAAGAAATTGAAAATGACACCAAAAAATGGAAGGACATCCCATGTTCATGGATTGGAAGAATTAATATAATCAAAAAGAGGGTGCTTTCTGACTTTTCTTTTCTCTGTCTCTGGCGAGCCACACACCCCCTAGCAAATTAAAAACAATCACAGGACCAGCAGGTGGTGTGGTGGCTAAGGCACTGGACTCCCCCCATGGCTGACGAGAGTTTGAGTCCTAGAGGGTGGCTTGAAAAGCACGCTTGACTCTTGTGGGTGTGTTCCCAAAATTCCAGGAGGAGAAGGTATTTCAGTCTGGCCATGCCTCTGGGGGATGATTTGTCACTTTTCCTCTCTTTCACGTGCCCCATGGCAGACACCTTAAAAATTAAAACCATTCGGGACCTGCAGTTAGCATAATGGCTATGTCGCTGAGCTCCCATGTAGTTGACTGCAGTTTGAATCCCAGACCCAGTGGCTTAAACTCACATTGGGTACGTGTGCGTGCATGCCCAAGATCCTGAGAGGAGAATGGAGAAGGGATTGTGGCGTGGCCATCTCCCCCTGGGGGGTGATTTCTGGCTTTCTGTCTTTTCTGGCGAGCACACACGCCCTATAGCAAAAATCTCAACCCCCTCCCCCCCAAAAAAAAATTAAAACCAATCATTTTCTTGTTTTTCTAATAGACTACAGAAATTATGCTCAGCTTCAGACTTTTCTCCTTATGGTCTTCTAACAGACAGACTTCTCTTAAAACAGCATTAATATGTAGGTTGATGTTTTCTGAAATGAATAAAAAAAGCCAGCTTTTTAAATTGACTTGGAAAGTTCTCTAACTGCCAGTTCATGAGATGCTGCGGTACCTTCTGCCTGACCTTTGAGAGGGGCCCTCAGGCCAACAAACTTACCCATGACTCTCAGTGGGGTTGTACCAGCCTTGGGGGGGGTGGGGGTACAGAGCCTGTGGGGACAAAGGGTAGAAACATGCAGCTTCGCCTGGGGGTCCTGCACATGTGCACACTCGCACACCCACAGTGTCGGGACCACAGGCAGTGTGTGCTCAGGGCTTCCTGGGAGCTGAGAGGACGTGGACTGACTGTACAGAAGTACAGGTGGCCTGACCTACCCCCCCCCCGGGAGGGCGACTGACCGAGACCCTCAGCCAAGGAGTGGACTTAGCGTGTCTCCCAGTGTCTTCTGGGTATAGGCCCAGCAGGGCACATGGTTGCCTCTTTGCATGGCCACCTCCCGCACCTACCCAGGTGGTACAGGGCTGGCTCTTCCCGGAAGGGGCAGGGATGGCACTCCCATCTCCTAGTTGAGAGAAGCTGGCAGTTGGGTGGGGAAAAGGAGGGACCTCTAACTGGGCCCATCCTTTCGAAGCCAGAACCTCTGAGTCCAATGTTGAGCTGGAACTGGTGTTGACGTTGACTGTCAGACCTGGTGACTGTCCAGTAAGTAGCCCTATGTATTTACATCAGAAAGCAGGATTTTTAAAAAATAAGTTATTTTATTGAACTTTATTTATTTATTTATTTTAATTTGGCCAGTGTGGGGTGGGGAGGGAAAATGAGAAAGCAAGCTGCTGGGTCTGGGAACCATGGTCAATTGGCCATGTGGGAGTCCAACATCCTTAAGCACCATGCAGCCACCTGTCAGCCCCAGAAAGCAGGATACCTTCACTAATTGGGGCCAGCAGGTGGTGTGGTGGTTAAGGCACTGGATTCCCACCTACTGACCCCAGTTCAAATCCTGGACCTGGCAGCTTGACAGGTGTACGGACATGTGTGCCCAAAATCCCAGGAGGAGAAGAGGTTGTATCGTGGCCGTCCCCGGGTATGATTTCTCACTTAACTTTCACTATGTCTCTGTCTGTCCCCAGTGAGCACACACACCTTATGGCAAAAACCTTTAAAAAAAAAAAAACCAATAAAAAACACTTCACTCATCTAGTTGGCTCCTGGGAACTATAGAAAACTTACTCAAAAGTCATTTTTATCTTCCAAAAATCGTATTTGCTATTATTTCCCATTGGATTTTAGGTTCCTGAGAGGCAGGGACTGTCTCATTTATCTGTCTTTAAGTCCAGAACTCCGTGCCCAGTGCTTCTAACTCACACCAGAGAGTGGACACTGGGCTTCAGCACCATTCTTTTTTTGTTTTTTAAGAGAGCTTTTTGCTGTAGGGTGCTTGCCCAGAGAGACAGACAGAAAGTGAGAAATCAACCCCCAAAGAGGGGGGCCATGCTGCAATCCAACTCCTCCATTCTCTTGAGATTTTGGGCTCGCCACACGTAGCATGAGCTTAAGCGCCAGGTCTGGGACTCAAACCGCAGTCGACTGAGTGGGAGTCCAGCCATGTAACCTTACTCCATCTGCTGGTCCTTTGGTGCCCTTCTTTTTGTCTTGGCCACGTAGACCAAACTCCGCTCTTCAGTGCGCCTGTCGGCAACAGCAGCCCTTCGCTTGGACTCATGCTGGCGGTCTCTGGGGCTTCCGTGCCTAATTTACTGCGAGCGTTCTTGGAAATGACCCAGGTGGAAAACGGGGACGTGTGAACATTTTTGATTTGGGGCTTTTTCATTTAACTTACTAAATACATTTCTCCTCTTTCTCCCCCCTTTTAAAAATATCACCAGGTATCCGTTACAGCACCGACGTGAGTGTGGATGAGGTGAAAGCTCTGGCCTCCCTGATGACATACAAGTGCGCCGTGGTTGGTGAGTGGCCACATCTGTCCCCACTGAGGGCTTGTCAGGAAGGCCTACATACAGAGTCCTGTACGGGTCTGTAGAAACAGACTTTATTAGAACTTTTTTTTTTTAAGTAGTATTTTTTAAGGCTTACGTTGTTACTCATCTGGTCTGTGGTTCGAGTCCCGGACCCAGTGGCTTAAACACACACTGGGCAGGTGTGCATGCATGCCCAAGATTCCCGAGAGGAGAATGGAGGAGAAGGGATTGCAGCCTGGCTATCAAAGATACGTATGTTCATCTTCATGTTGAACATTACATTATATTATGCACATCTGATAAGAGCTCCAGTGTGTTGTGTGTTTTAAGGTATGTATTAACCATCCGTGTTTTTCCTGTGTCGTGGCACACCATCCTGTAGTCTCTTCTGCCTATTTACATATGTTCTTGTGCCCATTAAAAATTTCCTCAGGGAACCCTGTGGTCTGACAGTTAAGGGAGCCAGGTCCTACATGGCTGACAGTAGTTCGAAGCCCAGCAGGCACATGTGCATTCATGCCAAACATCCTGAGAGGAAGGAGGAGTGGAGGAGAAGGATTACAGCGTGACCAGGTCTCTCAGCGAGGAGAGTGTCTGTTTCACGCACCCTCTGGCAGTTAAAAATGTTTTTCCACAGGTTGCCCACGGCCGCCACAAGCAACTGCAAGTCTCCACCATTGCTCTGTCGCTGTGCGACCGAGGCCTTCGGGTGCTGCCGTAGCGTGGGGCCGTCGGTACATGCTGGGCGGAAACGTAGTGGTTGTCCATGCTCTGGCTTAATTTATTCATATTCATTCTCCATGAGCTCTTGGAAGACCCCTTATAAGTCCTTGTCCTGCATTTCTTTACGTGCTCTGTAAGTAGGACCAGGCACCGTGAGGGGAGCGCGTGGCACGTGCTGAGGTAGAGAAGCACCAGCTCAGCATGCACGTGGCCTCTGCGCCCAGGCTTCTGCATCTAGAGACTGAGCAGACCGGAGTGAGAACAGGACAGCAGTGCGGATACGGCAAAAAAATAACGCAGATGGGACACAGCGTAGCAGCCAGTGATGCCGTGTGGGGTGTCACGAGTGAGCGCGATGGCCTCAAGTGTCCAGGCGCGTGGGCACAGCGTGTGCAGACGCACTGCTTATGTGAGGGCTCAAGCGTCCTCAGACCTGGTGTCCACGGGGCTCATGGGACTCGTCCCATGCAGACACCCTGGGAGAACTGCACCTTAGAACTTGCTGGCTTTAGAGCTTCTGTTCAGTAAAGTGTGGCTTAAATATGTGTTAGGAGGAAGCTGTGTAGATCTATTTCTTGCCCTTTTTGAAATTAGAGCTGGAAGCATGGCCCATTTTTGTGGTAGTGCATGGGACTTTCTGTCTTCACTTTCAACCTCTGTATGGAGCAGTAACTCACCCCTTCCTTTCAGATGTGCCGTTTGGGGGTGCGAAAGCCGGTGTCAAGATCAACCCCAAGAACTACACCGTAAGTGCCACAGCTGCATTGTGCCGCAGGCTTTGCTGTGTCTCCCTGCCAGCAAGACAAATGGTCCCACCGCATTGCACAGTGTGGGAAAATAAGCCTACGATTAGCTCACTGCTCTGCCCTGTGGCAGTCGCCTGCTGAATGGCAGTGCCCATATTCGTCGTCTTACTTGGTTAAAAGGTTGTTTATACTGTCATATTGTTATTTATACTGTCATATTGTTATGACATATTGTTATTTATACTGTCTTATTGTTAGGTACTTATCCATGTTCAGAATTACTGTGAGCTGACCGTGTGTTGGAATCTTTTTCTAGGACAGATACTTTAACAAATCTGGTAAAAATCTTACTGTTTATCTTGTCAGTTCCAGGTTAATGAAAACTAATCATTACAGCGCTTTACCTATTGCCGAATTCATGATCCGCATACAAACATGATATACACATGATTATACCTTGTTTAAAACTTGGCGTCTAAATTAAAATATACCGTGGCAATGGGTCATGGCGTCCATATTAATAGTTACTTCCCTTTCCAGTTGGCGTCTATTAAGACTTTGGGTTATTTTAACTGAGGAATTAATACAAAGCGGAACTCGGATTTGAGCCCCACTTCTGCTGTCTTGGTTTTCTAACCTGATTTCTTATCCCTTGCTTTCTCAACTTGATAATGAAAATGCCTGCTTTATGAACTGTCCTGATGGTCACATGAGGAGATACAGAAAATATGGCAGATAGAAAATGCAGGCCCAGCTGGCAGGGCACAAGGGCGCTTGCAGGGGAGGCCACGTGGAGGCCCAGCGTGCCCAAGTGGTCCTGGCCGGCTAGGAGTTGGGCAGGAGGACCACTGTGTGGTGACGCCGACCAAAATGCCTCCCTCTGTCTCTCTCGCCTTACTCTCTCACTCCCCTCTTCTCCAAAAAAAAACAAGAGAGGAAATATGAAAATATGATGTAATTATTTCTTCCCAAGTGATTTTTAAATTCTTTTTTTTCAATTATGAGTTTTGCCATTTTCTTTTCTTTACAGGATAATGAGTTGGAAAAGATCACGAGGAGGTTCACCATGGAGCTGGCCAAGAAGGGCTTTATTGGTATGTACTGCAGTGCGGGTTTCCACACAACGCGGGGCACCTACAGCCGGTCTCCAGTTACACCAGTCTTACGTGCCCAATGGAGTTGCCCTCTCAGAAGTAGGTTTGATAGCAGACCTGGGGGCACAGCCAGTCCTGTTCACAGCACATCTCCAGATAAGGTCAAAGAAATTTATGGTCTCGGGTAGTGAGGACACGAGAAATGAAAGAACTGCTTTTCCTCTCTGTGTGTGGACGTGGTAAGAGTTTGGGTCAGTGCAGCAGCCTGGCTCAGTCCCTGCTGAGACGTCCAGAAAGACCGAGGCCATACTTCAGAAACTAAATAGTATCTCATTTTAAAACATTTTCTAATATGTGAGAAGTAGTTTTGAAAAATGTCAATTTTGTTCTTGAAGCAGTGAGAAATGTAATGGCTTTTGGAACTAGAGTTTTGTTTTGTTTTTGAATTATTTTATTTAACTTTATTATTTATTTATTCTGATTTGACCAGGGTGGAGGGGGGTTGAGAAAGCGAGAAAGCAAGCCACTGGGTCCAGGACTCAAACCGTGGTCAGCCGTGTGGAAGTCCAGCACCCTTAACCACCACACCACCTGCTGGCCAGAAGTGTAGATCTTAGACACATGTGGCTGCCACTTGAGAACAGCGAGGCCAGGCAGCAAGGCTAAGTGGTCACTTGCATCAGTGCCTTGAGGATCTCTGAGCTCCCGCTGTGTCCTGTGATCTGTGCTTATGTGGTGATACGCGAGTGTTCTTTTCTGTGATGCATAAATAAATGTTCATTTTCTCTTTAGTTTTCAAGTAATTTGAGTCTGTATATTTCTTTTCTTAGTCTAGTTTTTAATTAATTTGAGTAAGATAAAACACAGTTTGTCACAGTAGCCTAGTTAAACATAAAGAAAATGATTGACTGGAACCAGCAGGTGGCGTGGTGGTTAAGGTGCTTAGACACTCCCACATGGCTGACCATGGTTCGAGTCCTGGACCTGGAGGCTTGCTTTCTCATTTTATCCTTCTCTCTCTGTGTGTGTCTTTCTCTCGTCAAATTTAAATAAATAAATAAATAAAATAATTTAAGTAATTTTTAAAAATAGAGTACAGCGAGCACTGGAGCCGGGCTGGCTTTGACCTGTCTTTCCTGATGTGAAAGGCACTTTGTCGTGCCCGTCCCACGAGTGCACAGCGCTCGTGCAGCACTTCCAGGAGAAGCCTGCTGCCAGGTGCTCGCGTGCGCCGACTGCCTCCCTTGCTCTTAGAGAAGAAGTACCTGCAAAGTCAGGGCCGGCCAGGGTGGCCTTCAGACCCTTTATATCACACCTCCCCTTTGCCGAGATTCCACGTGTGTTTAATACTCTTGGGTGGGAACCAGCAGTTAGCATAATGGCTATGTCGCTGGACTCCCACGTAGTCGACCGCGGTTCGCGTCCCGGACCTGGTGGCTTAAATCTCACGCCAGGCGCGTGTGCGTGCGTGCCCAAGATCCTGAGAGGAGAATGGAGGAGAAGGGATTGCGGCGTGGCCATCCCCTCTGGGGGGTGATTTCTTGCTTTCTGTCTCTCTGTCTCTCTCTGTCTGTCTGGCGAGCGCACGCGCCCTATAGTGAAAAACCTCTCCAAAAAAAAAAATACTCTTGGGTGACTCGACTTTATGTAGTCATTCTCTGCCTGTCTCTGGGATGTGTCCAGCTTAATCTGACCAGTCTTGACGGAAAGTACTTTCTAGTTTCAGAAACGATCCGTTAGAACACTGAAAGAACAAAACTCAGATTCTAGTCACTGGACTGACCTGCTTGTGCAGCAGCCTCGCTGACCCGTGGTGTGAGTAAACTGACACCCGCTCAGAAAGCTGTGGCACGGGAGGTGGGCAAGAGCTTTCCCACTTCTAGGCAGACCTGTAAAAGTGATGTGGTTTATCTATTTTCTCTCTTCCCAGAGCTTTTTCTTTTTTTAATTGTTCATTTTTATTGTTTATTTTCAGATATAACAGTGTGCTAAAATACAGTTTAAAAAACTTTAAAGTACTAGCAGGCAGCTGGACAGAAGTAAAGGCTTAGCAGTAAACAGTGCTTACCAAGTCCCGGGCATTGTGTGAGTCACCGGAAGGGAACAAAATCGAGCGAGCGGCCTTCACCTTACGGAGCTTGATCTGTTTAAGAGTCTGTTAAAAGCTCTCCCAGAGTTTTAGATGAAGACTCAATCCTGAGTCTGAATCTTACTCTTTCACCGTCTGTGAGTTTAGAATTCATTTGTCAATTTCTGCCCAGGCAGGCAGCGGGGTCTTTGATGGGGATTGACTCCGGCCAGTTTGCGGCGGGCCGCCGAGTTCTGCCTGTGAACTCTCCCAGCCCGTCTCCGTGGGGTGCCCATCCGTGTACCTGGGTCTCTTTAATGTCTTTCATTGTGAGTCTAAATTTTGTGGTGGAATATTTAATGAGGACTTCATGCCCTGGGTTCATTACCCAAATGTAATTAAAGCTTTCTAGCCATGGTGACTGTTAACATACTGAATCTGAAGGATCTCAAAAGCTGGTGCCCTGCCCTTCCCTCTGCCCCCAGGTCCTGGCATCGACGTGCCCGCGCCAGACATGAGCACGGGCGAGCGGGAGATGTCCTGGATCGCCGACACCTACGCCAGCACCATCGGGCACTACGTGAGTACGCTGCACCCTGTCTCCCGGGAGTGACCCTGCAGCTGGCTGCAGAAGGCGCAGTCTGTTTCTCCTCCTCTCTTAATGATGTGCTCATTATCTCACCTACATTCGCTGCTCCTAGAGCTGTGTGGGGCTGGCCCAGAGCACTGTGACCAAGCACTGTGCACTGGAAGCTGCATCCCATGTGGCTGACCGCAGTTTGAGTTTGGGCCTTGACTCACATTGCTGGTGCATGTGTGTGTGCATGCCCTCAGTCCTGATAGGAGAGAGAAGTGGGGGAAAGAGATGCAGTGGCCCGTGCCCCTGGGGTGCCTCCATTGCACACGTGCACACGTGCACCACTTCTTGCAATGAAAACACACTGCAGGGCAGTGGGCACGGGTCAAGCCGGTCCTTCCATGCTCTCTGCACTGGGGCTGGGCCCCGTCACCCGGGCAGCGTGCCCTGCCGAGGCACTGGCAGGCAGATGCAGAGAGGCCATCATTTGTGACTCTTAGCCTCAGAGGACTTTCCTTTACAAAGGAATGAAAAACGTGAGCAGGTAAAGTTCAGACACGACGGCAGCACGCCAGAGTTTGGCTATGGCTTTGACAGCTCTGATTACTTTGGAGGAGGACTTAATAAATAAAATTTTTAAAATTGTATTTTCCTGGGAACCAGCAGTTAGCGTAATGGCTATGTCACTGGACTCCCACGTAGTCGACCGTGGTTCGTGTCCCGGACCCGGTGGCTTAAAACTCACGCCGGGCACGTGTGCGTGCGTGCCCAAGATCCCGAGAGGAGAATGGAGGAGAAGGGATTGCAGCGTGACCATCCCCCCTGGGGGGTGATTTCTCGCTTTCTGTCTCTATGTCTCTGTCTGTCTGTCTGGCGAGCGCACACGCCCTACAGTGAAAATCTCTCCCAAAAAAAAAATTGTATTTTCCTTTTTGTTAGCATGATACATTTGTTATACAATTGAAATAATATAAAGAGAGTGGAGAGTTATAGTTTCTGAAAGAAGACTTTCTTAAAGAAATAGGCTTGACCTTGAAGACGGGTAGAGTTGACATCTGGCGACTGGGGGTTGAAGCGGGGAAGCAGCAGGGCTCAGCCGTCTGCTGGCCAGGCCGTCTGAAGGTGCTCGGCCAGGCCTGACGTAAGGGAGCCGGGAGGCAGGACCAAGCCCCGTCAGCGGTGCGTCTTTGCCTCTGGCCTCCCACCCTTTCTCGGGGAAGAACAGGCACGGGCTGTGACGTGGACTGGATGCTGGGACAAGGAGCGGGATGGGACTGTCAGCAAGGACCAGGCAGGAGGATGCAAACTGAGCAGAGGCGGTGCCACTGTCCTCAGACACAAGGGAATTCAACTCCCTGTCTCTGAGAGGGGTGGGGCCTTGAGAAACAGAAACGTTGGGCATCAGAGCTGCAAAGGATGTCCACGCCTCCTGTGTGCCAGGCCAGGTGCAGGCAGGTGTTTGCTACAGTAGGTAATCGCTCGAGGTTGTTGCAGAGCCGTGAGGAAGAAACCTCGGGGCCTGAAGCTGAGTGGCTACGGCTGGGGGCAAGTGTGGAGCAGACGCTGGCACCTGGGCGCAGGCCTGGCGTGCAGGAACGCCGAACTGGAAAGGCTGAAGGGCAGTCTGGCCAGAGTGAGCGCAGGACGGTGGGAAAGCCAGTGGCAGGTCAGGCCAGGTGCTGGCTGCTGGGTGACAGTGACGACTTCAGTCTTTGTCCTAAAAACAGAGGGGAGCCAGTGAAGGGCCCTTGTGAGCAGGTGTGCAACAGAGCTGTGTGTGCACTGTCGGCCTGGCTCTGGGCAGCGCAGAAGAGGTTGTGGGGGTGGGAGACTTACAGGGGCCCCGACCGCCAGAGCCAGGGCGGTGGGACATGGGGCATGGCCTGGAGAGAAGCTGAGGTAGCTGGGACGGTGGCCGCTGCCGAAGAAGAGGTGGTGGTGGTTGGCACGTGTGTTGGCCTTGGGCACGGATTCTTTCATCAGGGACATGTAGAGGGGATGGGATAGCAGTTGTGGTGAAGTCCCTGAGGGAGCAGAGGCCTGGGAGCTTTTCCGTAAAGGCTGGAGGGGAGATGGGCTTTGGCAAGGACCAGTTAGAGACCAGCACGTTCCAGGGCTGTGCTGGCTGGGAGCAGGGCAGACCACCTGGGTCCCAGCTCCTCAGTTCTGTGACTTGGGAGTCTACACGCCTTGGCTCCCTCGTGTCAGTAATCCTGGCTTCGTGGAGCTGTTGTGAGGATTAGCTGACTAATAATCTAATGCGCTTAGAACCGTGTATTTATGAGTATTATGGCGTATAAATTGCACACGTTTCCCAAAACACATAAGAGCAGATTAGGCATGCCAGCAGATTTTGATTTTTTACTGTTTTCCAAGGACACTCTCTGTCACCTTTTTATGTTAAACGAGTTTCTGGGATGGTCTCTTGTTTTTAAGCAGGACACTCGGCTAAGTCGTGCAGCCTGGAAGGCAGTGTGTTTTATTTCTAGCTCGCTCTCAGCGGGGGCAGCAGCAGGAAGTTTGTGAGGCACTGCCAGCGGGCCCTGGACCTTGCTGGTAGAAGACGCTTGAGGCTCAGGTAGAGGAGCCCTAGTTCCCTGACTCGGGTCTGGATGGGAACTGGGCGCAGGAGGCCCTCTGTCTGGCCCCACCCAGAAGCGCAGTGTTGGGGAGTGCTCCCCCAGGCTCTGGCACCGTTAGGAACGCCGGGGCGCCTGGCAGCTGGCACCAGGCCTGACCCCAGACAGTGGCTCCTTCAGCTCTGCCATTCGCATTTTCTCTGTTGAAAGCATTTGGCTCTGGGTTTGCTGCTGCATTCATAAGTGGTAATTATTCAGGGAAGAAGGCTTTGGGAAAATCACTGATTCTGGAAATCACTTCACTAGTCTGCTTCTTCTCATCGTCTTTAACCTTTTTCTTGGTAATTATACAAGTGACATAATGAACTTTGTAAAAAGTATTTAAGCAGTACAGATAGAGACCCGATGACTTTTCAGTCTTGGTAGCCTGAGCTCTGGGGCGTGTGGTCCGCGTGGTGGGAAGTGAGGTGCTCGGGTGTCCCTTGGGAGCAGATTGCCCAGGTTTAAGTGGTCCGTACTTCCACCGCTGGTTGAGAAGCCTCATGTAGAGGGCTCGTCTGTACGGGGGACAGCCTCGTTTCCTCCCTTCACTGAAGGGTGAGCCTGTGCTCAATGTCTGGCTACCACGTGTACGTTGGGTTCAAAGCCAGCGGCCATGGGGAAGATGGGGGTTCAGATCCCCGGTTGCCCGGTGCACGCCAAATGTGTGCTGTGCTGTGTGCCCATGATCCTGGATGGGCCACGGCTGGCACTGTGAGACACCGTAGTGGGTGCTCATTTTTAGAAGGGAATACACGCACACCCCCAACTCAAGGAGAATGGAAAGTGGGTGGTGGGGATGGTGGAGCCCCATTTCTGCTTCACAAACCTGACCGCCGGCTCAGAGGTGCTTGGCTCACTCAGACTCACCTTTGTCTCACCACGCGAGCCTCTTTTTCTAAGGTTTAAGTATTTCTTAAGTACTTGCATTAATCCACTCTTCGGTGCACCAAGGATTATCTTCTGATTTTGTTTAGTGTGGCATTTTATGGAATTTCTAGGTTAGTTTGGCTGAAAAATACGTTGAGTCTCCCTGGTTTTTAAGAAAATTGTCATTTCTTCTGACTCAGGCTTAAACCGACGCACTTATGGAGAGGAGGCGCACCCTGGCAGGGCTTAGCTGCCTGTTGAAGGAGTGACAGCCTTAGTCGGTCGTACTTCGCTGAGTTTGTGACTTCTGCTTGTTTTTGGTTTTGTTTTGGAGAGGTTTTTGTTCTAGGGTGAGTGCACTCACCAGAGAGAGAGAAAGTGAGAAATCACCTCCCAGGGAGGATGGCCACACCGCAATCCCTTCTCCATTCTCCTCTCGGGATCTTGGGCACGCACACACACGCGCCCAGTGTGAGTTTAAGCCACCGGGTCCAGGACTTGAACCGTGGTCAACTACGTGGGAGTCCAGTGATGTAGGCATTATGCCAACTGCTAGTCCTGATTTGTGCTTACTTGATGCTAAATCCTAAACTTCTTGTCTATCAGGAAACCGTTTTCTCTCTTTCCTGGGGACAGGCAGCTCGGGAGGTGAGACTGCCCACTTGGTGGACATGTGCCCTCACACATGCTCACTTGCTTACACAGACAGCGAGCGTGGTCTTAGTTAAATGAGAATGCGCTTTGGCCTTAAGTCATTACTGTGGCTCATCGTAGAAAGTGGACTTGCCCCTCCTTTCTTTGATTATGACTCCCTCTCTCAGGACATCAATGCCCACGCCTGCGTGACTGGGAAGCCTATCAGTCAGGGTGGCATCCACGGACGCATCTCAGCTACCGGCCGGGGAGTCTTCCATGGGATCGAGAACTTCATCAACGAAGCTTCTTACATGAGCATCTTAGGGATGACTCCAGGGTTTGGAGATAAGACATTTGTTGTTCAGGTAAACGTTCTGTTTTCATAATTGGTATACATTTTTAAAATATTGACATTATTAGATTTGTAATTTTTTTTTTAGTGGTGTTTGCTATAGAGCACGTGCACTTGCCAGAAAGACAGAGAGACAGAAAGCAAGAAATCATCCCCTCAGTGGGGATGACCACGCCGCATTCCCTTCTCCTCCATTCTCCTCTAGGAATCTTGGGCATGCACACACATGCGCCTGGCGTGAGTTTAAGCCACCGGGTCCGGGATTTGAACTGCGGTCAACTACATGGGAGTCCAGCGACACAGTCATTATGCTAAGTGCTTATCCTAGATTTGTCATTTTAACATGATTTCTTTGGAATCTCTTAGAATGGTTCGTTTCAGGATACACCCCTAACTTTTAAACCTTGGTGTGATTCATGTGACTAGGATTGATTTAAGTGTCTCTCAGGTATTTATGAAATTACCACTAGCTTATTTAGGTCGGTGTTTAAACTTAAAATTATATTCAGGAGAGATTTCTTAAAGAAATATTTTATTTAACTTTTATTTATTTTATTTTGACCAGAGAGAACTTAGCGAGAGAGAGGGAAAGCAAGAAAACAAGCTACCAAGTCTAGGACTCAAACCATGGTTGGCCATGTGGAAATCCAGTGCCCTTAACCTCTATACCACCTGCCGGCCCCTAACATAAATTTTTAAAACAGTTGGTTATACAGAAAGATCTCCTCACTGACCCAAATTTGTTTGATGTGTTAACATGTATTTCACTTCAGAGACCTAAAGTAAGTTGAACATCACTTAAGTTGCACATTAATGGGACCAGCAGATGGTGTAATGGTTACATTGCTGGACTACCAAATGGCTGAGTGCAGTTTGAATCCCGGGCCCAGTGGCTTAAAACGCACACCGGGCACATGTGTGCATGCCCTAAATCCCGACAGGAGCGTGGGGGAGAAGGGATTGCAGCATGGCCATCCTCCCTGGGGAGTGATTTCTAACTTTCTGTCTCTCTCTGTCTTTCCAGTGAACGCACATACCCTATATATAGCCAAAATATCTCTTTAAAAAAAAAGAAAAAAGCTTCACATTATTAAATTAAGTTGAACATGATCAAATCAGTGGCATATCTGTTTATAACCAGAGGACAGCCGGGTCATTGGGGCTGAGCTCATCGGTGTGATGGCACCAGTGCCATGTCTTCATAAAGCAGAGGGGACTCCACTAAACCTCGTCTGTACTTACCATCGCAGAGGCTGGGCTCCATTCTTGAACAGCCATTCTATATGCAGCTGCCGGGTTCTGAGAATTGCTTCTAAATTGATAGCATGCAGATTTCCACTGATTAAAGTAAGACTGACTCCCCAGTGCCAGGATTTAACTTCGTACCGTGCATGGTGCTTTCCACAGGGCTTTGGGAACGTGGGCCTGCACTCTATGAGATATTTACATCGTTTCGGTGCTAAGTGTGTCGCTGTTGGTGAGTCTGACGGGAGCATATGGAATCCAGATGGCATTGACCCCAAGGAACTGGAAGACTTCAAATTGGTGTGTTGGTCTATATTTAAATAGTTGAAGCACCCCGAACCTTACAAAGTTAAAATAAGTCTTATATAAATCTATTTCCATTGCTTATCTTTTAAATGTAGTTCAATAAATGAATTTTATTAAATGAATTTTCATGTCATAGGCACTAAATGTAGACATTTACACTTTGGTGCAGCAATTAATTCTGATTTTCAATCAATTACAGCAACATGGCTCAATCCTGGGCTTCCCCAAGGCAAAGCCCTATGAAGGAAGCATTCTGGAGGCCGACTGTGACATACTGATCCCTGCTGCCAGTGAGAAGCAGCTCACCAAGTCCAATGCACCCAGAGTCAAAGCCAAGGTGACAGTGCGGTAGAAACCAGAGTCCACGTTCTTAGCCTGAGTGATGCCGCGGTTCATTTAAAAGTCCAGTGGGGCTTCCTCTGTTTTTCTGTCTTTTACCAGTCTTACTAAAGTATAGTTTGCACATTACACAGTCCACCCACGTGAAGTATACGGTTTAATGGCTTCTAGTGTATTCGATCATCCCAAGTCGTACAACCGTCACTGTGGGTGTCCTTTTAAACCAACATGTGATGACAAAAAACAGGGAAATTGGGACCAGCAGATGGCGTAGTGGTTATGTCGCTGGACTCCCACATGGCTGACCACGGTTTGAGTCCTAGACCCCGTGGCTTAAAACTCACACTAGGTGTGGGAACCAGCAGTTAGTGCAATGGCTATGTCGCTGGACTCCCACGTAGTTGACCGCGGTTCGCGTCCCGGACCTGGTAGCTTAAAACTCACACTGGGCATGTGTGCGTGCATGCCCACGATCCTGAGAGGAGAATGGAGGAGAAGGGATTGCGGCATGACCATCCCCCCGGGGGATGATTTCTCGCTTTCTGTCTCTATGTCTCTCTGTCTGGCGAGCGCACGCACCCTATAGCATAAAAAAACCTCTCCAAAAAAAAAAAAAACTTACACTAGGTGTGTGTGCGTGCGTGGGTACCCAAAATCCCAAGAGGAGACTGAAGGAAGAGGGATTCCAGCATGGCCATCCCCCCGGAGGGGGATCTCTTGCTTTCTGTCTCTCTGTCTCTGGCAAGTACACATGCCCTATAGCAAAAATCTCTCTTTAAAAGTAAGAAAACTAGAAAAATAAAAAGGGGAAAGGTAGGTTTATATACTTTGTAGAGAAAAACATCCTCTATCAGTTGAATGGGATTTTGTTTCTCCCGTAACTCCATGTCCAGCTCACACATCTCGGCCACGGTGGAGGGTTTGGCAGCGGCACTGACGGTCCCATGTGCTCTCCTCCCTTGCAGATCATTGCCGAAGGTGCCAACGGGCCGACGACTCCAGAAGCTGATAAGATTTTCCTAGAGAGGAACATTATGGTTATTCCAGTAAGTTATCTGCTTCTCAGCTTTTTATATACGTGGAATACTATTACAGATGTCTTTTGCAAGGAATTGGGGAAGAGAGGAATGATTAGTTTCCCAGTGGGTAGTGAATTCTTCACCTTGATTTTTGCTTCTGAGAAAAGACAGGAGAGGCCTGGTTAGTGTAGAAGGCCCATCAGTTTTCACTTTGCCCTGGGCATTTAACTTTAGCTCTATTGAGTGTGTATTTACGCTTCTAAAACTCTAGTGCTAGCAATACTATTGTAGCATTTGGGGGCGGGGAGAGCCAGGAGTAACTTTACACCGGAAGGCTGTCCTGCATCCGCCCTCTCAGACGTGGCCAGTGTGCTCTGGGTTCTGGTGGTTCTCATGTGGCCGCTGCACCTCCAGACATAGGGTCCCAAGCAGTGCGGCCCAACGCAACTACGGGACCATTGGACCTCGGGGTCCGTGACTCCAGCTTCCTGGGAACCCGGGTGTTGACTGTCCCTCGGTGGGACTGCTTCACAGGAGAGCAAGCTCGTGACACAGTGCTTGGCGTTCTAGCAGAACCTTTTCCAGGTGGAAGACACCAGCTTGGGGTGGCATGATAATATGTGAGTGTGTTTAAGAGTGATGTGAGGATGGGAGTGGGGCTGAGGAGAGCCCCTCTGCCCTTGGAGCTGAGGGCTGATGGGCTGACTGCTCGTCTGGTCTGACAGTTTTGGGACCATACGTGAACAAGACTCTTTCTGAAACAGACGAGCATTTCCAACGTTTAGTATTCTCTAACTGATGACCTTGTCTGCTGTAACGCTCTTCATCGTAGTCCCCGTGTGCTCGCGGGAGGTGTCTTCACACCTGACAGCCATGTGAGCAAGAAGTTCAGAGGGAGCTAGCAGTTTGCATGCTATTTGTATGTAACATTTGGGTTGATCTGTAACACGGTCAAAGATTTCAGTTTTTAAAATTGAGAAAAAGAAAGACTATTCAAACTTAAACTCTAATGTTTTCTGTGATTCCTAACCTTATGCCTTACAAGCATCCTTCCTGCTTGACTCAAGGCTGGTGCAAGCAGGAGAGCACCACTGCCCAGTGGCTGGAACCACGTGACCAGCCCGGACTCGGCCCCCACCCAACCTGAATAGAGCAGTGCAGCGCCACATACCCGTGGTCCCAGATGCCTGGGAGGGGGCGTGAGCAGCGCAGCATGGCAAGGCCCTGCCTAAAATATTTGTTTCTGTCTCCCCAAACACTGGCGCATATGTGCTATCTCTTAAAAAAAAAAAAAAAAAACCACCTCAAAGTCAGGGCCAGCAGCTGGCGTGGTGGTTGAAGTGCTGGACTCCCATGTGACTGACCATGGTTCAAGTCCTGGACCTGACAGCTTGTCTTCTCTCTCCCTCTCTGCCTCTCTAAGTGCGTATGCCAATAAAAAAAAATGTATTTAATTAAATTGAATGAATACTTTGTGTGTGTGTGTTTAAAAAAAAAAAAACTCAGAGCAGTTAGGTAGTGGACACAGCTCCCCTGGTGACAAACATTTGTGGACAGTCACTGGTGGGCAGGTGACCTAGTGTGAGACCTTCTGGTAAGAAAGAAGTTATAACTTGAGTGTGAAATTCCTTCCACATATCTGAGAGACGTTTGAGAAGTTTTGAAGGTTTTGTTTTTGGTTTTTGTTTTTAAGTAGTTTGCTGTAGAGTACATATACTCACTAGAGAGAGCCAGAGAGGGGGAAGGTGAGAAATCACCTCCCAGTGGGGTGGCCACACCGTGGTCCTTTCTCCTTCATTATCCTCTTGGGATTTTAGGCATGCACATAAATGCACCTGGTATGGTTTTTCAAGCCATCGGGTCTGGGTCTCAAACCATTCAGTTTGCCGTATGGGATCAAGGTACCCTCAGCTCTGTGCCGCCTGCTGGCCCGTGTCTGAGAAATCTAGCGCTCAAGCCCGTGTTGGTATTAAAATGTTCATCCTAAGCTCCTAATGAGTCCACTCCCTAATCACCCGCTGTCTCCTGGCCACGCTTCTAGGATCTCTACTTGAATGCCGGAGGAGTGACGGTGTCGTACTTTGAATGGCTGAAGAATCTCAACCATGTCAGCTATGGCCGTTTGACCTTCAAATATGAAAGGGATTCTAACTACCACTTGCTCAGTGAGTTCCAGTAACCTTATCTTCCATAAATAATCTTTGGACCAGCAAATGGGTGAAGAAAGCATACACTTCTGAGAACTTGTCCCTTTAATAATGCTAGAAAGCTTCGTCTCAGACCAGCGGATGACATCAGCAGTAATGGTTATGTCGCTGGACTCCCATGTAGTTGACCACAGTTCGTCCCGGACCCGGTGGCTTAAACTCACACCAGGCTCGTGTGTGTGCATGCCCAAGATCCCTAGAGAAGAATGGAGAAGGGATTGTGGTGTGACCTTCCCCCCTGGAGGGAGTGTAATTTCTCGCTTCCTGTCTCTCTAGCAAGTGCACGTGTCCTATAGCAAAAATCTCTCTCAAAACATCAGAATGAAAAAAATTTAGTCTCAGAACAGAAAGCTGTTGTTATTTTGTCTTAAGCTTATCGTTTTGCAGTTGTTTGGTGTATTGAATATATTTTATATCCTCATCTTTATTCCGTGATGTAATATCCCTAGAATATAACCTACGAGTCAGTGATATTATAGAAAGTGTTCTCTCCTTTTTTTTATACTTGCTCATCAGAGGAAAACGGAAGGAAGGAAGATGGGGGGCACTCTCCACGGGTCACGCCCACACAGCTCCTCTTCCTCCACTGTCCCTTCTGGGATTTTGAGCTTACGTGAATGGCCATGTGGGATCCGGTGCCTTAACCACCCGGCCACTGGCTGCTTGGGGGATCCGGTCCCTTACCCCCCCGGCCACTGGCTGGCCTGAAAAGTGGTCTCTTTGTGAAATCCACTGCAGATGCTGGCCCATTTCTGTTTCTGGTGCTCTTAGGAAAGGCAGCTAGAATGATTCGAGTCCCGGGATGAGGGCGTTTGTTTTCCTGTAAGCAGAGCCAGTGCCACAATCCAGAGTAGACTTTCTCGTCTAGCTGAAGTACGACCAAGACCTCCGGCCAAGCTTCCCTAGGCTGAGCGAGTGTTCCATCTGTTTCTGGTTTTTTCCCTCAGTGTTTTCTTTTTAATAGAGCCAAGTGAAAACCCTGGTGATGGGTGTTATGGAAACAGAGCAGTGACCTAAATTCACATTTATATAGGAATTTGGCAAAGTGTTTTTATACTCCTTTTTAACTGGATTTTAAGTGATTAACCCTTTCACAACTTGAGCGTTGAAGATTTCTGAACTCTGTTGGTTTGGGTTGTGGGTGTCTTTAGGGCTACTCTTAATTAGTTCTCTTCATTTTTTCCCTACTAACTATCTTACATGATCTTGTGGCTTTTGTAGTGTCTGTTCAAGAGAGCTTAGAAAGGAAATTTGGAAAGCACGGGGGAACCATTCCTATTGTGCCCACGGCCGAGTTCCAGGACAGGATATCGGTGAGTGCCCGCCAGGGTGTGCATGAATGACGGGAGTCGGTGTGGCCGTGACGGGCCGTGTGAGTGTCGCCCCTGCCCTTTCACTGCAGACTGCAGCTGGAGGACAAGCCCTAGTGGCCAGTAACATTTAAAATAAATAATCCTGTCTCGTATACTTTTTGCAGTCCAGATAATAGTGATTCTAACCTAATCATGAAGGATTTTATATTTTAACTCTTTTAAGCTTCAGAGAAATAGAAAGTTTTGGAAGTAAATATTTGACCTGTGTGACAATTTGAAATTACTGTATGTACACAAATAAGAGCATTGGAGCAGGTTAGAAGAGGCACTTTGTATTAATTAACTGTCGATAGGATGCACTAACGGTGCATTCACATTGCAAAGGAGGAAATGACAGAGACCTCAATGACAGAGTCACGAGGAAGCCTGGGCGGAAATAGCTAACTTGGCTATTACATCACATTAAAATAAGGACATTTCATTTTATGTATACGTGAACAAAACAATTAGCAACTCCTACACTCACCATGACTGTGGAAGGCCATCGTCCTGTGTTCTCGTGACAACGCAGACCGCAGCTCCTTGGACGGTTTGGAGAGTTGGGGTACCTCCACCTTCTGGTGCTACAGTAACCTCCCCTCTGGAAATGGATCCTAAGAACGTAGCACAAGCAGAGCAGTGACCCCAGGCAGGACTGTCATGGGAGCTGTTCTCACTTGTTCCTCAGCTCCTCTCCTGTGGGTCCTGCCATTTTTATTCCCAGCACAGCAGACCATTGTGCACTCTGCCTTCAGTTCTTCCTCCGTCCTTGTATCGACTCCACCCACCTGACCGGTCTTACCCAGGTAGCCAGCGACACCTACCAAGGTCATTTCAGGTCTCATCGTGCTTGACCCATCAGCAGCTCTCGTCAGTTGATCACTCCCTTCTTGAAATATATTTTTCTTTTAGCTTCTCGAACACCACATGCTCCTGGTGTTCTTCCATGTCTTAGTTTGTTTTTTAGTTGCTAATGGGAATACCTGAGCTTAGGCGATTGGGGGAAGGAAAGAGAGGTCTGTTTACAAACACAGTCCCGGTGGCTGAAAGGCTAAGGCTTAGGCCTGCAGAGTGACAGGCAGAGCATGGCGAGCATGCGAAGAGAGAAAAGGAGCAGCTCGCTCTGTTTATAGCAGCCAGCTCTCAAGATCCGAAACTCACAGGGCGACAGGATGTCATGAATCTGCTTGTCAGAGTGTTGCCTCTGTGATGGGATCGTCACAAAGCATCCGCCACCCCCAGGCCTCACACTCCCAACAGCAGATTCCAAACAGGAAGCCACTACCCCGCCTCCCGGCCCTTCCTTCTTATTGCCTGTCACTGCTTCCCCTTCGTCCCTCACCCTCCTAACACGGGAGGCCTCAGTCCCAGCCCCACCTCTGCTGAGATGCAAACTCTGATGTATTCAGCGTCCTGTAGGGAGATTCCTACAGTCTCCTCCCGCTGGAATCTCAGCTCCAGGGGAACAGTATCGCGATTTTCTTCTCGGTAACGTGTTGGTGAACAGGTGAATGAATGAATAAGTGAAGCAGCAGTGTCCACCTGGAGAGCAAGTGGCTTCCTCTTCCTAACTTGACCGAAGCAGAGTTTAACCCAGATGTTTCTTGGCTAATACACACTATAAAAACATACTTTTTAAATGAGTCCAAATTAGTGCTATTTGGCACGTAGGCGGCCCACTGAGGTTTTTTCTGGCATGTGAAAATAGACATGTTGCAGCATCACGGTCAGAGTAGGAGCGTGGGATAGCTCATCGCCGTTATGTTTTTAAACAGGATCCAAGAAACAAAGTGGGAGAGTCTATTAAAACAGGTTGACTCCTGGAGATCACTGGGCACAGGGAAGCGCGGTACCTGATGTGGCGGTGGCCTGGGCATCCGGCTCTCACTAAGGCGCTGTCTGTAGCTGCGTCTGGCTGTAAAGCTTGGGCCGGCTGAGGACACCCACAGGGTCACCTGGAGCTGCTGTCAGGCCTCGCCTGGGGAGGCTGAAGCGAGTGCGTGTGGCAGGGTGGGTGAGGGAGGGAGCACCTCTCGCCACTCCTCCAGGTCTCTCGGCCTTGTTTATGGTCGTTGCTTTGCCATGATTTTATTGCATAGGTATTTGCTGTCAAAAAAATTAAAACTGAGTTGTGATTGAAACTCCGCTCCTTCAGGAAGTATCAAGACACTGTAGAAATGACACATGCTTCGCCGAAAGAGGACAGTCCTGACTGGCCATGTGCTTTCTTAATCTCGGAACTCACAGGATGCAAAGCCTGGTTTGTTAAACTTGTGTTTTTCTTTTTCCTACTAGGGTGCGTCCGAGAAAGACATCGTACACTCTGGCTTAGCCTACACCATGGAACGTTCGGCCAGGGTACGTGTGCCTTTCTGCCAGCCCACAGCCCGACCGTGGGACCTCGGCGGCCAGGCTGTGTGTGATGACAGCGCTCTGCTGAGTGGGTCCGCGTTCGCGTGAATCAGGACACGTGCTTTTAGTGTCGGGTGATGGGCAGAATCTCCAAACATGCTTCCCAAGCTTTGGGGAAAAAAGAACAGTGCCGAGTTCGGAGGCCCTGAGCGTGGCCGCTGGCTGAGTGTCGGGCTGTGAGCCATGGCGGGGTGCCACGCGGCACCCCTGCGTCATGGACTCGGGAAGCTGCCTTTCTGTGTGGCCCTCGGTGCAGGCGAAGCTTTCACTGCCTCAGCCCTGTTTCAAGGCCTTAAACACAGCTGGAGTCCGGGTTTCCTGATTCTCGGCATGCTCAGGTTCTGTCCAGTGGGGTCTTAAAGTACACAGCCCAGCCGTTGCCACTGTGTAATTGTAGGGCATTCCTCACCCCACACTTAGGGCTTCTAAAGATCACGAAGTCCGTACATGAAACTCATTCCACATCGCAGGGTCTGCAGGGTCACGTCCCAGGGTTTTTGGTTTTTTGGTTTTTGTTTTTATCTTTCTAAAATTTTTATTTTAATTTCTTTTATACATTCAACCACTATATCACATAGCTTGTAAAGTGAAATTTTCCAACTTGAATATTCTTAATACCAGTCCAGTTGAGATACTATATACGTTATTATCAACAGATAATAATCCATTTCTGTGCCCCATAGATGTCTGGCCTCTGTATTTTTCTCCTTAATGTCTTCCCTCACACTCTCCCCTTTCTCCCAGCCTCACATCGCAGGTTTTAAAGGGTGACTTCTAACTACCACCTGGGGAATAACTGCCTGTATTATCCCTCTCTGCCTCTCTAAGTGCGTATGCCAATAAAAAAAAATGTATTTAATTAAATTGAATGAATACTTTGTGTGTGTGTGTTTAAAAAAAAAAAAACTCAGAGCAGTTAGGTAGTGGACACAGCTCCCCTGGTGACAAACATTTGTGGACAGTCACTGGTGGGCAGGTGACCTAGTGTGAGACCTTCTGGTAAGAAAGAAGTTATAACTTGAGTGTGAAATTCCTTCCACATATCTGAGAGACGTTTGAGAAGTTTTGAAGGTTTTGTTTTTGGTTTTTGTTTTTAAGTAGTTTGCTGTAGAGTACATATACTCACTAGAGAGAGCCAGAGAGGGGGAAGGTGAGAAATCACCTCCCAGTGGGGTGGCCACACCGTGGTCCTTTCTCCTTCATTATCCTCTTGGGATTTTAGGCATGCACATAAATGCACCTGGTATGGTTTTTCAAGCCATCGGGTCTGGGTCTCAAACCATTCAGTTTGCCGTATGGGATCAAGGTACCCTCAGCTCTGTGCCGCCTGCTGGCCCGTGTCTGAGAAATCTAGCGCTCAAGCCCGTGTTGGTATTAAAATGTTCATCCTAAGCTCCTAATGAGTCCACTCCCTAATCACCCGCTGTCTCCTGGCCACGCTTCTAGGATCTCTACTTGAATGCCGGAGGAGTGACGGTGTCGTACTTTGAATGGCTGAAGAATCTCAACCATGTCAGCTATGGCCGTTTGACCTTCAAATATGAAAGGGATTCTAACTACCACTTGCTCAGTGAGTTCCAGTAACCTTATCTTCCATAAATAATCTTTGGACCAGCAAATGGGTGAAGAAAGCATACACTTCTGAGAACTTGTCCCTTTAATAATGCTAGAAAGCTTCGTCTCAGACCAGCGGATGACATCAGCAGTAATGGTTATGTCGCTGGACTCCCATGTAGTTGACCACAGTTCGTCCCGGACCCGGTGGCTTAAACTCACACCAGGCTCGTGTGTGTGCATGCCCAAGATCCCTAGAGAAGAATGGAGAAGGGATTGTGGTGTGACCTTCCCCCCTGGAGGGAGTGTAATTTCTCGCTTCCTGTCTCTCTAGCAAGTGCACGTGTCCTATAGCAAAAATCTCTCTCAAAAAATAAGAAAGAAAAAAATTTAGTCTCAGAACAGAAAGCTGTTGTTATTTTGTCTTAAGCTTATCGTTTTGCAGTTGTTTGGTGTATTGAATATATTTTATATCCTCATCTTTATTCCGTGATGTAATATCCCTAGAATATAACCTACGAGTCAGTGATATTATAGAAAGTGTTCTCTCCTTTTTTTTATACTTGCTCATCAGAGGAAAACGGAAGGAAGGAAGATGGGGGGCACTCTCCACGGGTCACGCCCACACAGCTCCTCTTCCTCCACTGTCCCTTCTGGGATTTTGAGCTTACGTGAATGGCCATGTGGGATCCGGTGCCTTAACCACCCGGCCACTGGCTGGCCTGAAAAGTGGTCTCTTTGTGAAATCCACTGCAGATGCTGGCCCATTTCTGTTTCTGGTGCTCTTAGGAAAGGCAGCTAGAATGATTCGAGTCCCGGGATGAGGGCGTTTGTTTTCCTGTAAGCAGAGCCAGTGCCACAATCCAGAGTAGACTTTCTCGTCTAGCTGAAGTACGACCAAGACCTCCGGCCAAGCTTCCCTAGGCTGAGCGAGTGTTCCATCTGTTTCTGGTTTTTTCCCTCAGTGTTTTCTTTTTAATAGAGCCAAGTGAAAACCCTGGTGATGGGTGTTATGGAAACAGAGCAGTGACCTAAATTCACATTTATATAGGAATTTGGCAAAGTGTTTTTATACTCCTTTTTAACTGGATTTTAAGTGATTAACCCTTTCACAACTTGAGCGTTGAAGATTTCTGAACTCTGTTGGTTTGGGTTGTGGGTGTCTTTAGGGCTACTCTTAATTAGTTCTCTTCATTTTTTCCCTACTAACTATCTTACATGATCTTGTGGCTTTTGTAGTGTCTGTTCAAGAGAGCTTAGAAAGGAAATTTGGAAAGCACGGGGGAACCATTCCTATTGTGCCCACGGCCGAGTTCCAGGACAGGATATCGGTGAGTGCCCGCCAGGGTGTGCATGAATGACGGGAGTCGGTGTGGCCGTGACGGGCCGTGTGAGTGTCGCCCCTGCCCTTTCACTGCAGACTGCAGCTGGAGGACAAGCCCTAGTGGCCAGTAACATTTAAAATAAATAATCCTGTCTCGTATACTTTTTGCAGTCCAGATAATAGTGATTCTAACCTAATCATGAAGGATTTTATATTTTAACTCTTTTAAGCTTCAGAGAAATAGAAAGTTTTGGAAGTAAATATTTGACCTGTGTGACAATTTGAAATTACTGTATGTACACAAATAAGAGCATTGGAGCAGGTTAGAAGAGGCACTTTGTATTAATTAACTGTCGATAGGATGCACTAACGGTGCATTCACATTGCAAAGGAGGAAATGACAGAGACCTCAATGACAGAGTCACGAGGAAGCCTGGGCGGAAATAGCTAACTTGGCTATTACATCACATTAAAATAAGGACATTTCATTTTATGTATACGTGAACAAAACAATTAGCAACTCCTACACTCACCATGACTGTGGAAGGCCATCGTCCTGTGTTCTCGTGACAACGCAGACCGCAGCTCCTTGGACGGTTTGGAGAGTTGGGGTACCTCCACCTTCTGGTGCTACAGTAACCTCCCCTCTGGAAATGGATCCTAAGAACGTAGCACAAGCAGAGCAGTGACCCCAGGCAGGACTGTCATGGGAGCTGTTCTCACTTGTTCCTCAGCTCCTCTCCTGTGGGTCCTGCCATTTTTATTCCCAGCACAGCAGACCATTGTGCACTCTGCCTTCAGTTCTTCCTCCGTCCTTGTATCGACTCCACCCACCTGACCGGTCTTACCCAGGTAGCCAGCGACACCTACCAAGGTCATTTCAGGTCTCATCGTGCTTGACCCATCAGCAGCTCTCGTCAGTTGATCACTCCCTTCTTGAAATATATTTTTCTTTTAGCTTCTCGAACACCACATGCTCCTGGTGTTCTTCCATGTCTTAGTTTGTTTTTTAGTTGCTAATGGGAATACCTGAGCTTAGGCGATTGGGGGAAGGAAAGAGAGGTCTGTTTACAAACACAGTCCCGGTGGCTGAAAGGCTAAGGCTTAGGCCTGCAGAGTGACAGGCAGAGCATGGCGAGCATGCGAAGAGAGAAAAGGAGCAGCTCGCTCTGTTTATAGCAGCCAGCTCTCAAGATCCGAAACTCACAGGGCGACAGGATGTCATGAATCTGCTTGTCAGAGTGTTGCCTCTGTGATGGGATCGTCACAAAGCATCCGCCACCCCCAGGCCTCACACTCCCAACAGCAGATTCCAAACAGGAAGCCACTACCCCGCCTCCCGGCCCTTCCTTCTTATTGCCTGTCACTGCTTCCCCTTCGTCCCTCACCCTCCTAACACGGGAGGCCTCAGTCCCAGCCCCACCTCTGCTGAGATGCAAACTCTGATGTATTCAGCGTCCTGTAGGGAGATTCCTACAGTCTCCTCCCGCTGGAATCTCAGCTCCAGGGGAACAGTATCGCGATTTTCTTCTCGGTAACGTGTTGGTGAACAGGTGAATGAATGAATAAGTGAAGCAGCAGTGTCCACCTGGAGAGCAAGTGGCTTCCTCTTCCTAACTTGACCGAAGCAGAGTTTAACCCAGATGTTTCTTGGCTAATACACACTATAAAAACATACTTTTTAAATGAGTCCAAATTAGTGCTATTTGGCACGTAGGCGGCCCACTGAGGTTTTTTCTGGCATGTGAAAATAGACATGTTGCAGCATCACGGTCAGAGTAGGAGCGTGGGATAGCTCATCGCCGTTATGTTTTTAAACAGGATCCAAGAAACAAAGTGGGAGAGTCTATTAAAACAGGTTGACTCCTGGAGATCACTGGGCACAGGGAAGCGCGGTACCTGATGTGGCGGTGGCCTGGGCATCCGGCTCTCACTAAGGCGCTGTCTGTAGCTGCGTCTGGCTGTAAAGCTTGGGCCGGCTGAGGACACCCACAGGGTCACCTGGAGCTGCTGTCAGGCCTCGCCTGGGGAGGCTGAAGCGAGTGCGTGTGGCAGGGTGGGTGAGGGAGGGAGCACCTCTCGCCACTCCTCCAGGTCTCTCGGCCTTGTTTATGGTCGTTGCTTTGCCATGATTTTATTGCATAGGTATTTGCTGTCAAAAAAATTAAAACTGAGTTGTGATTGAAACTCCGCTCCTTCAGGAAGTATCAAGACACTGTAGAAATGACACATGCTTCGCCGAAAGAGGACAGTCCTGACTGGCCATGTGCTTTCTTAATCTCGGAACTCACAGGATGCAAAGCCTGGTTTGTTAAACTTGTGTTTTTCTTTTTCCTACTAGGGTGCGTCCGAGAAAGACATCGTACACTCTGGCTTAGCCTACACCATGGAACGTTCGGCCAGGGTACGTGTGCCTTTCTGCCAGCCCACAGCCCGACCGTGGGACCTCGGCGGCCAGGCTGTGTGTGATGACAGCGCTCTGCTGAGTGGGTCCGCGTTCGCGTGAATCAGGACACGTGCTTTTAGTGTCGGGTGATGGGCAGAATCTCCAAACATGCTTCCCAAGCTTTGGGGAAAAAAGAACAGTGCCGAGTTCGGAGGGCCTGAGCGTGGCCGCTGGCTGAGTGTCGGGCTGTGAGCCATGGCGGGGTGCCACGCGGCACCCCTGCGTCATGGACTCGGGAAGCTGCCTTTCTGTGTGGCCCTCGGTGCAGGCGAAGCTTTCACTGCCTCAGCCCTGTTTCAAGGCCTTAAACACAGCTGGAGTCCGGGTTTCCTGATTCTCGGCATGCTCAGGTTCTGTCCAGTGGGGTCTTAAAGTACACAGCCCAGCCGTTGCCACTGTGTAATTGTAGGGCATTCCTCACCCCACACTTAGGGCTTCTAAAGATCACGAAGTCCGTACATGAAACTCATTCCACATCGCAGGGTCTGCAGGGTCACGTCCCAGGGTTTTTGGTTTTTTGGTTTTTGTTTTTATCTTTCTAAAATTTTTATTTTAATTTCTTTTATACATTCAACCACTATATCACATAGCTTGTAAAGTGAAATTTTCCAACTTGAATATTCTTAATACCAGTCCAGTTGAGATACTATATACGTTATTATCAACAGATAATAATCCATTTCTGTGCCCCATAGATGTCTGGCCTCTGTATTTTTCTCCTTAATGTCTTCCCTCACACTCTCCCCTTTCTCCCAGCCTCACATCGCAGGTTTTAAAGGGTGACTTCTAACTACCACCTGGGGAATAACTGCCTGTATTAACCCAGACATGTGCCAACACATGTGACGCGGCACCCCTGCGTCATGGACTCGGGAAGCTGCCTTTCTGTGTGGCCCTCGGTGCAGGCGAAGCTTTCACTGCCTCAGCCCTGTTTCAAGGCCTTAAACACAGCTGGAGTCCGGGTTTCCTGATTCTCGGCATGCTCAGGTTCTGTCCAGTGGGGTCTTAAAGTACACAGCCCAGCCGTTGCCACTGTGTAATTGTAGGGCATTCCTCACCCCACACTTAGGGCTTCTAAAGATCACGAAGTCCGTACATGAAACTCATTCCACATCGCAGGGTCTGCAGGGTCACGTCCCAGGGTTTTTGGTTTTTTGGTTTTTGTTTTTATCTTTCTAAAATTTTTATTTTAATTTCTTTTATACATTCAACCACTATATCACATAGCTTGTAAAGTGAAATTTTCCAACTTGAATATTCTTAATACCAGTCCAGTTGAGATACTATATACGTTATTATCAACAGATAATAATCCATTTCTGTGCCCCATAGATGTCTGGCCTCTGTATTTTTCTCCTTAATGTCTTCCCTCACACTCTCCCCTTTCTCCCAGCCTCACATCGCAGGTTTTAAAGGGTGACTTCTAACTACCACCTGGGGAATAACTGCCTGTATTAACCCAGACAGCTCCTTCTTCCTGCCTGAGGTGGGAACTGGGTGACCTGGACCAGGACCACATGTGCCTTGTGTCCCTGGCCTAGTTACTCGAGTCAGCGTGGTCTTCACTGTGCTTTATCCTCCGTTTCAGCAAATCATGCGCACCGCGATGAAGTACAACCTGGGCTTGGACCTGAGGACAGCTGCCTACGTCAACGCCATCGAGAAAGTCTTCAAGGTGTACAACGAGGCCGGCGTGACCTTCACATAGACGGTCATGGCTGCTGCTCCCCCGCCCCCACCTGTAACTTCTGCAGACCTAGCACACGTTTACATGTAACCACAGAAATCTCTCATGACTCATTCAGTAATGGACAGCATTCTCTGCAAGTCCACTCAGATCAGCCCTGTAAGGAGACGCGCTCGGGGGTCATGCGCAAGACGGTAGGCTTGAAGGTGGAGACTGCCCTCCCCAAGAGCCTGTAGGTCTTTTGCCTTTGAATGAAACATCTGTCCCTCTGGCTGGGCTGCCTTGCTCAGGGCTCTTCCCAGCATGGCCAGTGCGATGGCCAGGGGCAGCAGGCAAG